GTTTGAGTAGAGGTGGCATTCATCAAGATGATTTAATTGACCATCTCTGTGAATATTTGTGGCGATACGAAGTGAAGAAAAACGGAGGAGATCCATTTCATTATTTATTAGAAGACATTAAATATGTTTATAATGGAAATTAATACAAAACGTATACAAAAAACTGTTGTAATTACAATTACAAAAGATCTCCCCCTATCTCAATTAGGCGCGCGAAGCACGTTTTTTGCGGCAAACTGTTGTAATTTTATTCTACTACGCTGTGTCGATAATGCAGGAAATTACATCAAAATGGTAAAATGTTTTTCGCAAAATTTTGACTCTAAGCCTTTGAGTCGCCAAAAATCCTTCTCGCAAATATTGTTTTTATGCAAAATGAAGCTATTTGCAAAGTCTCAGCCAAATCGGGTTTGACAGGTTTTCGGAAATTTCGCCTTTTTTTCTTACGACTTATTAAGGGGGTAGACACGGCACCTGACCTCTCCGATTTGGCCGGTCGGTATTACAGCAGATTTTTCTGCACAAAAATGGTAATACCCATAGACATACGGGTGGCCGATGAAAACGAGAGGGCGCTTTTTTCTAATTCTGTATTCTATTCTGAATGTAAAAGAAATAGTCAGCTGTCGCATTGTACTTGACAAAATTTAAACGCAAAGTTTGGTTGATAGTGCAAATTTATTATACTTTTAATTAATCCAAATATGCTTATGCTACAATATGTTACGTTGGATAAATAAATGATGGGAAATCCCAGAAAAATAAAGTTTCTTAAGTTACATCTTTTTTTATATAAAAATACTAAACGGTTAGGTTATGGTTCGATTAGTAAATAAATAGCGAATTATTTAAACAAAAAGGGAAGCCTTTTTTATTAATAAAATAATACAATAGAACATGAACTCTATACACTTATAAGATAATTGAAAGCAATTATTGAACAAACATTATCTATACAATTTGGTTGAGACGATTCCGGATCGCTTGTACTATCGTGCTGTACACCCTGGTTTGATCTGTAAAAAGAAATATAACAATTTCTTTTTGATTTTATACTATTTGAATGTAAAATCTGTTACTTACATTTCCTGATGAATCCACTATTAGGAAAGTAAAAATTAATAGGAGAGTGTGAAGAGACCCACCACCACCCCGTCAAAGACGGTCCTCTTCATTCTCCACATTTGTACTTTTGTGCCTAAAAGTATGTGTCATACGCTGTCATACATATCATTTCCATTTGATATGAAAGAATTGTTCTCTTCCTTTGCAAAGTAAGGAAAAGTAGCTGAAAGTAAAAATTAATAGGAGAGTGTGAAGAGACCCACCACCACCCCCATCAAAGACGGTCCTCTTCACTCTCCACATTTGTACTTTTGTGCATTTATTGCGGACCTCCTAAATAAATAAATACAACATGATAATGATTATAAATGAATTCACGTACAGGTAATAAAAATAGAGGCATTGTACTTACCTTTTTATACACGTGCGTTCCCGTTTCCTCCTAGATTATAAATTGTTTTCCCTTCCGATAAAATAAAGAAGTAGCTGAAAGTAAAAATTAATAGCAGAGTGTGAAGAGATCCACCACCACCCCCGTCAAAGATATTATTATACACCTCATCATGTGTGGTGTGTGCACCGCCGAGTGTAGTCTCAATAGACTGTAGAACAGCTCATCATATGAGCTGTGGGTACTCGACGGTGCAGTCGCAATAGACTATAGAACAGCTCATCATATGAGCTGTGTGCACCCGCAGGTGCATTGCGACCTTATATTGCAATCGTTTATTATACACTTCATCATATGAACTGTGTGCACTCGTCGGTGCAATTCTGATTTTTATGTACATCGTCACATGTACTTTCTTGTGTACTGGTACATGTATTGTTGCTCTGTTTTATGTATGCAGGCTCTCTAATAGATTGCTGCCGATTAAATCTGCTGTCTATAATTTCTGGCAACATGGAGTCTTCATAAAACCTTTTCAGTTTTTGCTCCATTTCTGTTGCCCAGAATCTGTCGTCTCTTTGTACTTTTGTAATTTTTATTCCTTTCTTTGTCCATAAACAGAATAGAGCACATTGTCTATTCGTTATGTGTAACTGTTCTTGCACTTGATAATAGTAATGATGAATTTTATTCATTTCACCACCCCGGAAAATACGCCGTATTGCAGGAAGTTGCTCTATTGCTTCAGCAGGCGATAAATCCTTCGCCGATTCAGGGCATTTCACTTCGACGATAGTATCATCGTCCGCGAGGCCGTCAGGAGTTGCACCTAAATAAGGCACAACGGCATCGATGAATAAACCACACGGTAGAATATGGATTCCCATTTCCGTTTCCAATTGTCTCAAGGCATTTGCCTCGTTCTCTCTTCCGTACTCAAGGGAACGCAAATATTGAATTTGCGGATACATTATACTCTTTATCGTATTTCCTCTTGGTGTATTCTTTCTCAATCGGCATACCTTGCCGAAATGCGATGCAGTTAATAATTTTTTACGGTAGGCTATCCATTTTTCGCTCTTGGCCTGATCGCGAGTTTCTGCTTCAATTTTATGTCTCATCGTTTGCCACTGAAGGAGTGTAAGCATGTGCCTCTCACACTCAGAAGAGAATACTACTTCTTCCATATCTGGTTTTTCTGCCGTGGGGCCGTAATCTTTGTCGCACGATTGCTTTTCGTATCGAGAAGAACATGCTTTGGCATTTTGCTTATATTTCGCTGCCATTTGCGATGCATGCTTACGTCGTTGTTCCATATTTTGTACGATAGCTGTCGGTTCCTTGTTCATAGCAGTACTCAATCGGCTGAACGACTCTCTTGAATTGAAATGAAAAACAGCAGCAGAGACTCTACCCTGATACGAGCCCTTGCGTCCAAAGTTTATTCTTTTGCCACCGATGAATTTCGCAATTATGTTATTGAAACTCTCCACTGCATTATTATTTAATCCATATAACAAGCTCTCAGCTTGAGGAAAGCGCGGTTGCATTGCTTCTTCAATGCTTTGATAAATACCGCATTCTTTCAATTGTGGAACATAGTTCACTCCGTTCGGGTCAGAGTATTTGTTGCAGAAGTATACTAGTCGCTGACACTCCTGATGTTCACCGAAAACATGACTCGCTACATTTTTCATATCTGTTTTTAAATTTTTTATTTGATCAGCGAGTGTTACTTTCTCTTTGAATCGGTATTCTGCAGCTTTTTTCACACCAGTGCGCAGGCGAAGGGCATTCTCTTTTACAATAGCTCGTAATTCCTTGAAGCGGCCTTTTGTGGCGATCTCATTTATTTTTCTACTAAAGTTGCGTAGCAGGTGATTGGTACATTCAATTTTTCGTACATGCACCATATATTCTTTGTATGGATCATTGTCCAATATCTTTTTGTACACACTGCTATCTCCATCGGCAACTAATATTGAATATATCAGGCCGTGCATTTCTATGCTGCATTTAAATCCGTCTACAATAGCAGCACTTTCCATACCAGTTGAATTCTGGTTACGACCCGAATTTTTAAAGCAACGATGCTGCCGTGCCTCTTCCTTCTTCTTGGCAGCGGTTTGGCAAATTATACAAAATTTATTTTTTACATTGATGTAGAGCACCTTTTTGGTGTGGTATCCCACGATGGCTCCTACACCAGACAGAGAGTTGTAATCACCTCCACGGTATGATCTCTTCATCCAGCTGCCATCTGCGACAACTGGAATGCGTGGTATATTACAGCCTGGAAGTATATCGCCTCTTGCTATGGCTAGCTCTTTTTCTAATTTCCCTGCGTCTTCTATTTCTCGTTGCGCAGCCAATTCGAAGGCATCGATTATTTCATCTTGGCATTTTTCGTAGATTCTCTTGCTCATGCACGACACGTTCATGCAAGAAAGTATTTCTTCTAGTTGATTGTATCCGCCGCCTGTCATCATTGTACCGGAAACAGCGCCGCGGTTGATATCCATTGTGTTATCACTGTTCTGAAGGCACGACACCCACTCGACGTGATTACACATTTGGCACTTTATTTTATACTTTTTTTCCAGTCCGTTTTGTTGACATCCAATTATTTGGAAGTGTTCGACGCCACAGCCGATACTTGAATGTTTTCCAAGCTGTATTATTTGCTTGAAAACATGTTGAAAATCGACGAAATCTATCCCGTTAGAAACTGGTTTTTCTTCTAACTGCGGTGGTTCTGCTGTTTCTATCAATGCCTAATCTTCTAAATCAGAATGAATTTCTTCCACGTTTCCTTCATACCCTTCCACGGTAGAAAAATCATTCGCAGCAGGCGAGTGTGGCAGCATCTCATAAGAGGTGGAAGGTTCTTGAATCGCAGAATAATCAGTCGCAACAGGCGAGTGTCGGAGCATTTCGTAAGAGCTGCTACCTGCATCGTCTGCGGTACAGGTGCTCTGACCTACCGCGAGGTACGCTGCCTTCTTCAAACGTCGCCTAAGTAGAAATAACAAACACACACACATGCATGTATCAAATAAAAACAGTTGCTTATTACGGAAGGTAGGACTACAGTATTGCCTCGAAATAAACAAGTGGTCTCTGCTTCGAAATAAGCAACTCGCTATCCCCTCTTCTTTGTTTGAAGACGCCCGCAAAGTGAGAGATACGATAAATGAGTGAGAGGTCCATGAAAGCGCAACGCCGATGTTTAGGGTAATAAATTTCACGCTTGACTGAGCAGTGACAGCGGTTAGTAAAAGAAGGATGGAATACATGTGTATATGTAGAAAATAAAAGATGTATGTATTCCAGAATATTCTGGATTCTACTGCAGATGGCAGGGGGGTCGCGGGGGGCCCGCGACGCGACAAATCATGAAAAATCGACAGTCAGTTGACGACGACGACGTATGGGGAGTAGACGTGCCCTGCGACGAATTTTGCGACGAATCTGCGACGAATCCGCGACGAATCCTCAGTCTGGTATATTAGCTTCGAAATAAATAACTCGCTCCGGATGATACTGACATAGTGGGATATGTATTAACTGTGAGTAACAACAATATAGAAAATATACAAAATATATAAAATATACAAAACTCCTTGTCGATACGCCAGTGAAAAAGCTGACGTCCTGTAAAGAAATTATAATTAACTTTTTGAGTAGATTTAGTTTCTGTTTTTTTCTACTATTATTTGACAAAATCTTTTCTTACCTTATATTAGTCTTTTCACGGTTGGTTTTCTTTTGTACGTAGCGGTTCTTTTTCTAAAATCGTTTTATGTGCCTCCCCCATGATTAAGGTTGCGTCGTTATCATTACATTTCCGCAATTTTTCAAAGCTCGTGGATTTTGAAATTTATGAATAAAAATTGGAGCCAATTTATGTGTACCAGTTGCATTACTACACAAGCCAATGGACACCCTATCCTTTTTTAATTTTCTGCCTTCCAATTTATTTTCTGTATCTGTTATAAGGCTTTCCGAAGGAATAGTTTTCCATAAAAGGCCTGCTTCGTCCATATTAAAGATTAAATTTAAATTTATATCCTCTTCCTCGATTTTTTCATTGAATGTCTTTATGAAATTTTGCGCACCATCTTTGTCAGCATTTGCTTTTTCACCATGAGCATGGGCTAAGTGGATCTCATAGCGTTGTTTGAATTTCCACAACCAGCCCCTGCTTCCGGCATATGAGGTTCCTCCGTGCACAGCCAATATTTCGCGGGCCTTTTCCAGCAACAGCAAATCTGTTATGGGGTTTCCCACCGCTCGTTGTTGAACGAACCATGTATCCAATCGCTCTTCTAAATCTTCGATCGAAGATCCTCTTCGATTTTTGTGCTGTAATACATGGCCCCCTCGGGTCCCAAAAACGTATAAGAGTCTACACTCTCGACAAATCCGATGAATCACATCCTGCGATACTCCATATTCTCGAGAAAGTGCCTTTACCGTAATTTCCTTCTGTAATTGTTCGGCAATTTGCATCTTCTGCTCCACTGATAGAAAAACTCTTTTCTTTTTTTGAATTTCTGCCATGATTACAAAAAAAAACTGCACTACAACTCTTGACACTATCGATTTTCACTTTCTGTACTACTCCAGCAACGGTTGTCTAAAGACTGACCAAAGCCGGAATGGTGTGAATTTTATGCACAGATTCAGGTACAGATTCTTGGGTTTTTCCGGAAAAGTCATGACGTGTCTGGGTAAAACTTCGTCTTGGGGGACCAAAAATTAAGGGGTCCTTTTTTTTTTGTAGTTTTTGACTTGAAATTTTAGAAAATACAAGTTAAAAGTCCAGGAAACCAATAGTTTAAGAAATACAAGTGTTTAAAAATGTACGTATTTAGTGACATTTGAGAGGTTAGAATGACGCCATATTGTTTCTACACATCATCTGACTGGTTCGTTTAAGTGACTAAGTTCAAGTTACCTTATTCGAAAACGTACTGCTCCTTGATTGCTGCGATCAAGGAATCCATAAGATGAATTGTGTAAGTTTTGCAGAATTTCCTTCACAAATACTCACACAGGCGATCGGCAAAGTCTTCGTCGTGGAAGCGGCCTCTTCCGCGCATCCAATCCTTTGCCGGTCGCCAGTTCGCTTCGATTTGTTGCGTATGAGTTCCATCAGGCGCTGTAATTAAAAGATACACAAAACATTTATTTAATACCACACCAATATGACCGGCCGCCTCACAGCGACCGGAAATTTTGTTATAGCCTAACCAAACTGAAATAATTACCAACAAATTCGACGCTATGATTCACCATCTTATGGATGAATCCTTCAGCAGCGAGACCCATGTAACTCCTAAATGAGTCCGTATGGATCTCACTGCCTGCAGCAACATTTTCTTTAATTAGGGGGATCAAGGTTGCCGCTTCCCGGTCTTGAACGACAACCATTCTACAATCGTTGGTCGATGTGTCGACCATGCCAAGTACCCAGTGGCCGTCGATGATACGGCCACGGTTATACTTTTTTTTCCCAAATTTGGCCTCATCGATTTGAAATAATATTTAAAGTGTAGTAGTAGAAAACAGGAATAATAACAAAATTAATTAAAAATAGTATAAAAATTACCTGTACAACGATTGCAGAACCTCCTTCATCGATCCCGCCTAATTTCGGCTTGCCCGCTTGCATTTTGCAAACGTGGTCCACTATTATCTCCCGACAATAGCGGAACCACGCTGCAATCGTGTCCGTTGACAATACTTCCTGATCTTCCCCTACGTCGGATACCTCCGTTGTGGTAACCTCGTAGGAGAAGTCAAAAGTAAAGCAATACATAAGCCTTAAAAAAAAAAATATATATATATATATAAGAAACGATTATAAATTTAATTGAAATTAATAATCAAATGATTTCAAATGAAAATTTACTTTATTGCCTTATGTAACGGCAGACGGACATCCTGAAAGAAGGAATCGACTGTGGCCACTGCAGCCAGCAGGGCATCGGAAACGGCCAAGACCGTGTTCCCCGCCTGCGTAAAGCTTCATGGGCCGACGATGGGTACTATAATTTCTTGTAGTACGTAGAAGTCCCTTCTCCCTGGCCCACGAAACAGCCGATTCCTTCGAAGCGGGCAAGCTGCATAAATCATATTAAATAAAATTCATAAAAACACAGATAATACATACAAAATATACAGAAAATTAAAATGTATAAATTATATTAAACAAAATAACACATAAAATTCAAATACCTGCATAAATTATACTTTATCGTACTCATTATTATATACAAATATACAAAAAAAACACAAAAAACACACAAAAATATGAAAAAACACACAAAAAATAAATAAAAGATACAAAAAACAGACCAACAATAAAATACAGTTCAGAAAATGATGCTACGAAGAATATAATAGTTGAATAAAAAAATTGAGAGAGTTAACAAATGATACCTGAAATAAATGAACAGATTTCAAATTTACGCGCGAACCTTCGTGCGAACCAATCAGAAGATGGGTAGAAGCAACATGGCGTCATTGTAACCTGTCAAACGTCACTAAATACGTACATTTTTATACACTTGTATTTCTTAAACTATTGGTTTCCTGCACATTTAACTTGCATTTTCGAATGTTTCAGGTCAAAAACTATAAGATTTGATACCTTTCAGCCTGAAATTTTTGGTCCCCCAAGACGAAGTTCAGCTCGTGTCTGTATTAAGGGACAAGAAACCTTTAGGTACCTGCAGGGCCGCATCTTCTTCAAGGCGTACGATTTTATTCAACAACATTCAAATAAATCTTAAGCAAAGTAATAAAAAAATAATATTTATTTTTCAAGAGTGGCATTTAAAACATCTTTTAATAAGAGGGAGTGTAACACGCAATTAGTAAATTGGAACATGTTTCGTTCATGTGATTCTACATGCCTTCGGAAACGCATAGTGCGAGAATGAGAGGGCATGCTATATTCTATCCTTGTTCAAAAAATAACATCGCTGCTCGGCCGATCACTTTATGATTTGCCGCTACCTCGGATCTCTCATTCATTTCTCGCGTTCTCTATCGTCCTGTTTCGAGAACAAAGTCAAGCCGAATAGCAACCTGTTTCGAAATAAGCAACTGTTCGGTAAAATGGTCAATATTAGAGAAATGATTTTTATTACTATAAATAAATACGGCGAGATCGTCTTTTGTCGCGAACGTTCTCGTATGCACGATCGACGCGAAATTTCGCTGGTGATCTGCTACAATACTAATAATTAATTTCAAAACATGTGAATGGGCGACAAATAGCGGAGAGGGGCCAGAGGAATGGAGTCGATGGTACGCGCCATCATGGTAGGCGCCGAACGCGCAAAGGAGAGGTCCAATATAAAAAATGAAAGAAGGGAATATGTAATATTGTATTACATATTATAAAATACCATGATATTACTACATCGGGAACTAATGACTTCATGCAAATCTATAATATAAAACATAACTTACCATTCTTGCCGCTTTTTATTTTTAGATACACGCTTTGCAAATATGGTATAACTCTGATTTTTCTTGTTCCCTTTCAAATGCCTTCTGCTTCTTGCATTTTCACTTTCTTCTTTTCGTTCCATATTTACATAATTAGCACAGTAATGTATAAAAATGAAATAGTTCAAAAGTTATAAATATATACTATACACAACAAATGAAAACTCTACGCACATACATTCGTGTTTTCCCTATTTTATGAAACAAGAAGTTTTTATTATTTACTGTGTATATTTTTAGGAAAAAATGGATTGTACGATGGCGGAGAGCCAAGAAAATAGTGAATTGTCAGAAAATCCAGAGCCGAATCACGTAAGTACCTTTACGCTCACTATCTCTATCACTTTTATTTTTCTATGTGTTGTGTGAACTGCGATTACTTATTTTCTTAGATATAAAGCCGCGATTTTCGGAAATTTTAATTATTTATAACTTTTTAATGCATTCACCGATATAGATGAAATTTTTAGCATACACACAACTTATCTGAATCTACGAAAGTCATTTCAGTTGAAAAATTACCATTGTCTATTTTTTTTAATGATTTCAACAAATTGTAATTTTTTAAAACGATAAAAATACATATTTTAAATTTTCATGTTTAGGAACAGATAAATCAGGGGAGAAAGGAAAGCAATGAAAAACCAAATGAGGAAATCAACAAGCAATTAATTCAATTACTTGCAACATATAAGAAACAAGTAAGTATATACATATAATTGCGATTTCTCAGCGTGGAATCAACATCCATATGATTATACTACAATAATTATGTTTATGTTCCATCTTACAGAATGCAGAGCTGAAAAAGGAAGTCAAGGGACTCGTTAAATATAGTCGAGGGGCAAGAGGAGAAGGTAGAGGAAGAGGCGGAGGAGAGGGTAGAGGAAGAGGAAGTAGAGGAAGAGGCGGAGGAAAATGGGGCGGTTATGTCAAAAACAATCCTACTATCATTTTTAAATAAATAAAAAAAGAAAAAAAAATACTATGGTTTCTTTATTGTACATTCTACCCATACCCTAATTTAATATAAGTAAATATAATATTATTAGTACATAATTTTTTAATATACAGGGTGTTTCGTTTAAAACAGGCCACCTAAATAGCCCCTCTATCTCTGAAAATACAAAAAATGTTTCTGACGTAATCTGAATATCAGGAATATACATATATCTCATTTGGAAGATATTAAATTTCTTTCCGAACTTGCCTTCATTACTGACATGACTAATCAACTTAGGCTTCTCAATTTAAAGCTGCAAAGAACAAATCAAAATATTTCTAAATTAGTTAGTTATGTTGATTCTTTCCGAAGAAAATTATGATTATTAAAATCTCATTTAAATAATGTTTTTCATTTTTTTCCTTCTTGCGAGATTCTCTTCAAAGAATACGGCAATAGCTGCAATTTCAAGGAATATATTCATTTCGTCGATTATCTCATAGAAGAATTCGATACACGTTTTATTTGCTTCGAAAAACTTAGAACCGAATTAATTCTTTTCGAGAATCCCCTTACAGCGCCAATCGAAGAACAACATCTTGACTTACAGCATAAATTATGTGATTTACAAAGTGATATTTCTCTTAAAACAGTTAAAGAAGTAGGTCCTGATTTTTATAAAATGTTGTCAAAAACATCGCGTCCTAAGCTTCGTGATTTTAGACTTCGAATTTTTTCAATGTTTGGATCCACATATTTATGTGAAACTTCATTTTTACAAATGAAATTTATAAAAAATGGAAAACGTTCTTTATTAAGCGATGATTCTTTACCGCATCTTATGCGGCTTGCTACGTGCAATAATTATTTTCATTTCTTATTTAATTTTATTTCCGTTTAGTTAAAGGGTTCTTTAAGTCATCAGTGGATTAAGTCTACTGGGGATACCACTTAAAAAAAAAATGCATCGACAATACAGTAAAACCTGGATAAATGCAACGAAAGAATGCTTGGATAAGTGCAACATCGCTATCCCCTCCACTTAGGGGGATCCCCCTAGACGAACCGAGCCGCTCGACGAGAAAACCGTGTAATATGATCCGACCGTAATATCGGTGTGAGTAATACTAATTGAACGATAAAACTTTTTTATTTTTAACTTTTTCTTAATGAAACTTTTACTAGCGCATTTGTGAGATTTTTCTGATTGAAATGACACCAAACATGATATAATTTGAATTATATTTATAAACAATAGTAATAAAATAAACAACATAGAATTGACGCCACGACTGAATATAAATGATGTCGGCTGAATACAAAAGATGTGTACGGACACAGAATCGGCATGTCGGCTGAATACAAAACATGTGTACGGACACAGAATCGGCATGTCGGCTCAATACAAAACATGTGTACGGACGCAGATCGACACCTCGCTTGAATAAATGCAACATTAAATGCCCAGAATCGACACCTCGCTTGGATAAATGCAACCACTGGGGCCCAATCTTGGTTGCATTTATCCAGGTTTTACTGTAATACCTTGCGGTGATGTGGAAAGCTATTGCCAGTATACGTTTACGAGTGATAACGCTAATGAACCTCGAACAGTTCGTTGGCTGCGCGCGAAACGTCGGGGTACGGGGAATAGTGTTAGGCGGAGCCACCTGAAAATCGGCGGAGAAGTGCAAATCTTGCCGAGCTCTGACCTAAAGTACCTAGTTCGACACCAGACGTCTCTATTGTTTCACTTTGATCGTTCTTTGCCTTTTTTTTCTATTGGGAAGGTACAGGATTGCCTCGTAATAAGCAACATGCTCGGGTCTGGCCTGTTACTTATTACGGATCAGGTAGGCTATTCGGCTCGACTTTGTTTTCGAGCGCGTCGAGGGGGAACGCGTAGAGAAACAGGGGGGTTCGGTGTCGCGGCAAACTATTTATAAAGTGATCGGTCGAGCAGCGGTGTTATTCTTCGGAGACGGATAGAACATAACATGCTTTCTTATTTTAGCAATAGTAAAATCGGATGAATGGAACATGTAGTAAAATCGCACGAATGGAACACGCTCCAATTCCTAATTCGTGTCACACTTTCTCTTATTTTTTGACAATTATTTTAATATTAACATATACCCACATATGTATGTATTGTGTTGTTATTGCAATTATAGTTAACAAGTTATAAATAATACATAGGATACAGTTTTGATTTGAAATAAGCAACTGTTTTCAAGTAGGTAATGTAATGCTGGAAAAGATGTTTCAAAAATATCTGTTAATGAAATAAATGTAATTTTTAACAATATTTAAATATAGAGTTTCCATTAATCATGGCAGAAAACCAGAATAAGAAAAGGGTTTTCCTAACTATCCAACAAAGAATGACAATTGCAGAACAGTTAGAGCAGGGAGTGTCGATTACATTTTTAACTCGAAAATACGGAGTTTCGCGAGATGTAGTAGTATATCGCATTCGTCGCGAGTGCACCCGATTGTCTAGTTTTGGAAACCGAGGAGGCCGTGTTATGCAGCACAAGAATCGAAGAGCGTCTTCGAATGAAATTCTCGAAAATCGATTATATGCATGGTTCTTGGAGCAGCGAACAATGGGGAATCCCTTGCCGGATTTATTATTGAAAGAGAAGGCAACCGAACTGTGTAATGAACACGGTGCAATGTCGTTTGCCGGAAGCAGAGGATGGTTGCGTAATTTTAAGAATCGATATGGAATTCGGTTAGTCCATGCTCACGGAGAAAAGGCAAGCGCAGATGATGAAAGTGCAGAAAGGTTTGTAAATGATTTTGTGGATTAATTTGTGTCATATATATAATATGGACGAAACGGCACTGCTTTGGAAGGCTGTTCCATCAAAGAGCTTGATAAGCAGGGAGGAAGAACAATTGGCAGGAAAAAAATTTAAAAAAGATAGAGTGTCTATCGGATTATGTTCCAATGCAGATGGGGCCCATAAACTTCAGCCAATTTTTATTTAGAAATTCAGAAATCCACGAGCACTGAAGAATTGCACACAATTACCTGTGGTTTATAAATGTCAACGGCAAACGTGGATGAATGGAGATATTTTTAAAGAATGGTATGAACATCATTTTAAACCTAGTGGTCAGCAATACCAGTTACAAAGTGGGACAGTTGGGAAAACAATATTAGTTTTGGATAATTGTTCAAGCCACAAAGTAACCGAAATCGATCCTTTCGAACTGGTATATGTACCACGAAATACCACATCCCTCATCCAACCAATGGATCAGGGAGTAATTGCAAAGGGTATAGCAGGATAAGATGGTCAAAAGTGCCCTTGAGCCGAATTTGCTTCGCAATGCACCATTCGATAGCATATCCCAAAAAACCATGGTACACCAAGTTTCAACCCTGTACCTCAACCGGGAGGGTAGTTACAGGGTAAGAAAGAAAAAGTAGTTTTTGCCATATTTTCCCTATTAAATGGCATTCAAAAAATCTGAAAAAATTCTAGAATATTCTAGCCATGTTTCTTTATGATTGTGAATTTTCTCAGATTTTTCGGTTGCAAATCCTAGGCGTGAAAAATCAAAAACGCAAAAAAAAGTCGAAAAATAGAGATTTCGGGTAGAAGCTTTCGAGACACTAGATTTTTACTTTTACAGTAGTTAGATATTAGCATGACTGGTGTCCTCAATTTTTTTCAGATTTTTCATTCTGGTGCGTCAAACCGAAAAAAATCAAAAACCGATATTTTCGACATATTTCGTGCGATAACATGAGAAATACTTTCAATTTTTACATTTCCTTTACACACTTAGTGCATTATGTGATTTCGAACATTTTTGCACTGGATGAAGTAAATTCTGAATGGAGAGAGTAAAGTTATTATAAATAATTGAAAATTACGCACCTTATCCTCTAAAATATTAGAAAGTTTTTCAACGTTGCCGATGGGTAAGTTGGTAAAGCCGAGTATCCACCTGTATCAAACGCCCGTATCGTATCACCGTTCCGAACCCTTTTGAATAGGCAGACGTTGCCTCGTTGCATGCCACGGCGTGCTACGGCTCGGACAATATTTCTTCGTTTCTTGAAAGAAACTCCTATAGGCGAGAAGTTTCGATTTCCTGCATGCTGTTTCTTTATTGTAATTGTCCTAACCATATCGTGCTTGGTATCATTTTAATCAGAAAAACGTCACAAATATCTTGGTAAAAGTTTTATAAGAAAAAAATGAAAAATAACAAAGTTCAGTCATTGCATTAGTATTATCTCACTGATATATCCGATTCCAGATCATATTATCTCGAGCCTCAAGTGTCATGTTTCCACTTGACATAGCATTTCGGGCCTTCGCCTGGGTATGTTGTTTTTACGTTTCAAGTGGTCTCCGAACCTATCCTTTGAACAGCAAGAAACCGACAATTTTCGGATCGGCCCGTTCCTTCACCTCCGTATCACAGCCCAATAGAACTTTCGATATTCGGCAACGGAAAAATCTCTGGATAATTAACATTGTCCTTTTTCAATAATCACAGAGGTTCTTATTAACATTGCTCTTTTATGTACAGCGTATCACCGAAGATAATTGATCTGTTTAAATATATTTAGACGATAAAATTTGTCTAAATTAAATTAGATTAAGTTCATAAATAATTTCATCGATTTTGAAATGAATCCAATAATACCGCAAGATTTCAAATAAATTGAAACCCAAGTGACGGCACGAAACGCTATGTCAAGTGCAAATGCATAAACCTTTCCTTCGATGCAACGGCAAAGAATCGACAAATTTTTCGGATGGGTCCGTTGCCTCCGTTCCTTTGGAACGGCACGCAGCAAAACGAAACTCCTCGCCTGTAGTGGTCCAGTCCTATTGCCGAACCGTTTCTATCAAGAAACGAAGAAATATTGTCCGAGCCGTAGCACGCTGTGGCATGCAACGAGGTAACGTCTGCCTATTCAAAAGGGTTCGGAACGGTGATACGATACGGGCGTTTGATACAGGTGGATACTCGGCTTAAGGTGTCCGACTATGGAACCGCTGGAAACTTTTTTGTCACGAGTTCGCACCCCATGAATGTACAATTCTATTTTTTGTCATAAAACAATTTTTTTTTAAATTATTAATTACATAAGAATACACAATAATCATTTAATAACGTATGAAAATAATTTTGAAATATTTTATTATTAAGTATACATAAAAATAAGTGGTGCACTACCGATTTTCTGATCACGTATTGTTCTAATTACGGATAGCTCCCAATATTTTGTTAATTGAAAAGCTGTGTGGTTGTTGGTTTATGATGGATATTGAAAGCAATATATGTATATTTTACCTTAATTGTACATATAGTCAAAGAGTCGGTTGTGTACCACTGATTTTTATGTATACTTAATAATAAAATATTTCAAAATTATTTTCATACGTTATTAAATGATTATTGTGTATTCTTATGTGATTAATAATTTAAAAAAAAATTGTTTTATGACAAAAAATAGAATTGTACATTCATGGGGCGCGAACTCGTGACAAAAAAGTTTCCAGCGGTTCCACAGTCGGACACCTTACCGACTTATCCATCGGCGACGTTGAAAAAGTTTCTAATATTTTAGAGGATAAGGTGCGTAATTTTCAATTATTTATAATAACTTCACTCTCTCCATTCAGATTTTACTGCATCCAGTGCAAAAATGTTCGAAATCACATAATGCACTAAGTGTGTAAAGGAAATGTAGAAATTGAAAGTATTTTTCATGTTATCGCACGAAATATGTCGAAAATATCGGTTTTTGATTTTTTTCGGTTTGACGCACCAGAATGAAAAATCTGAAAAAAATTGAGGACACCAGTCATGCTAATATCTAACTACTGTAAAAGTAAAAATCTAGTGTCTCGAAAGCTTCTACCCGAAATCTCTATTTTTCGACTTTTTTTTGCGTTTTTGATTTTTCACGCCTAGGATTTGCAACCGAAAAATCTGAGAAAATTCACAATCATAAAGAAACATGGCTAGAATATTCTAGAATTTTTTCAGATTTTTTGAATGCCATTTAATAGGGAAAA